AGGGTGGAGTGTTTGTCATTATGGGTGTGTTTAAGGAGGGGGATGAAGTTGTGGGTTTTGTGGGGTGGCCACCCACAGGGCTTCTCCTTTCTCGACGGGGCCACCCACAAGTTCCCTTTGATGCCGAGGTGGGTGAGGGCGGGATAGGGGTTGGAACTTGAATGCCCTCAAGCAGCCACTCGCGGCCTCTTGAATCCTCGCCACACTCAGGTGCAAGGATTCCAAAGCTGGTTTTGGGGGACACCCCCAAGGTGTCCAGCCATCATTATAGAGTTAGTTCGAGGTTGCTGAAAACTTTACCAAGTTGTCAAAATAAATTTGGCACGCGTATTTTAACATACTACATAAAATGCCACACTCTTTGATGGTATTAAGTGACATTCGGTAATTAGATCAGCGATAATAAGTCAAACACCAAAGAGTCGAGAATCAGAGAATTAGGTCTATGTACGTACAGAATGTATGGCAGTATTATTGTAGGTGCTCAAAAAATGTTTATTGAATGATGGATAGTTAGTAAATGCTTGGTTGATGAAATTAATAATTAAAACTCACCGTTAGCCAGTATATGCCATGCGAAGGGACCACATCTGTTTTGCTCACCATTGAATTCCCCGTGCCTAGTAAAATAAAATGCCTAGTACACATATAGTTGATACTCCTTATATTGCTGAATGAATAAATCAAAACTTGAAACAACCATAGTAAAAATCCAGTTCCTTATGGTGAGTGTGTTTTCGGTGTCCTGGAGGAGTTCCAAATGATATTTCTATTTTTTTCCAAGTCTTCTCTATACTCAAGTTTTGTCATCTTTTTTTCTTACAGAATTTTCAAGGAACTTTACTTACTCATCTTTGTTTCCAGTTTACCCCTACTACCTTTTTCCTTTTTTTTTCTGTCACACTCTGCATATTTTAGTACATTTTCTCTAGTAGTTTAGTTCAGTTTCATATTGCTCAAGAGACTGAACTGCTTTTCTCCTTGTTTCCAGATAATCTCTCTGATACATTTTCTATATTGTCTATTCGTTTTTGTTTATAGGGTAAAATTGCCAGGAACCCAGAGTTTAGGTACAATGCATTGAATGTGGCTTGATGGTAACACCTTTTCTTTGTCTTCTCCCAAAGAAAGAGTTTAAAGAACGCTGTACACAGTGTGCTGCTATCTCTTGGGGTCTTACAGATGAAGGCAAATATTATTGCACTTCTTGCCACAATGTTACAGAGGTAAGTAACAAATATAATTTATGAATTTGCTTATATTTTAAAAATTGCAGTTTCAGCCTGTGTATAGCCTAATTTCCAAATAATTGATGTATTTTTTAACACTCATGCAATGTCCAAATTCCAAGAACATGAGTAGTCTTCAAGTTTTTACACATAGGTTAAAGGAATTTGTAAATCAGATTGAGGATAAGTTTTTGAAATTATGTTGAGCCACATTTATAAATGATTTCCTGATTCAGATTGTATGGTTTAAGGGGAAATAGTTAAAATTGTATGTAGGGGTGATGCATTTCTTTTTATTAGTTAATACTAATTTAAGAGTTTTTATTGTATCATAGCTTAGAGTTTAGGAAGATGGAATGTTAGAAAGCTTGCAGACTGTTGAATATTGGAAATAAGCTTCATTATCCTTTTATCTTTGTTTAGTCCCTTACAGAGTACAAAGTGTTTTTGTATCCATTATCTCATTTCCTTCTCATCACAACCTTTGAGATATACTGTTATGCGTATTTATAGATGGGGTAAGTAGGGCTTACAGGTTGAGTGAGTTTGCCAAAGTTATACAAGTATAAAGTGTTAAGTCAGAATGTGAACCCAAGTCTTCTGACTCCTGTATTTATTTTATCCATCACATCTGCCTCTTAAAATACAGATTGTCACACTATCCTGTGTAACCCTGATAAATGACGCTACCTTCACACTGGGAGTGCTGGTGTTCTGGTGACCACACCTGCAGGCCAGCATAACCAAAATAATCAAGGTTGTGGACAATCTGCTACTGAACAGGCTAAACATGCCAGCACTCTTCTCTATGGAAAAGGATTAGCTCAAAGTCTATAGAGCCCTGAAGGAACAGATAGTACCTTTACCATACAGACTTAAGAAAGGCAAATTTGGGCTCAAGGTCAAAGTAACTGTGTAAACTTCTGCTGCTGACCAACATGGAGTAACAGGGACCAAATTTACCTTCCTACCTTAAGCAACTAAAAACCTGGACAAAATAAATGAAACAAGTAAAAAAAAAATTTTTTTTTCCCCTTGAGAAAACTTGGTTAATTTAGCTTGCAAGTCAGTCACACAAGTAATTTTTCTTGAGACAATTAATATTCTTCAGTCTATAGCTGGAATGCTCATAGCTACTTCCTATTCAGTCACACAAAATATTAAAAAGATATGTAGCAGCCATGAAAAAGTGTGAAATCATGTCCTTTGCAGCAACATGGATGGAGCTGGAGATCATGTAGGAGCTAAATGGTCACAAAATTGGAATTAATAGACACTGGGGACACCAATAAGGGGGGAGGGGCACAATATGTCCAAATAACGAATATGCATGTGTACCCCCTGAACCCCCCCAAAAAAGGTATTTGCTTACTTTATAAATTGTTGGGGTTATGGAGTTGTTCATTGTCTTGATTATGGTAATGGCTTCATGGCGATATAGATATATTATGGATATATCTATTTATATCTTTATACCAAATTGTGTACTTGATGTGTACATTTTGGTCAGCATACTATTTTTGTAGGAATTGAACTACATTAACTAGCTGAAAGATTGTCAACCTGCATGGAATAACTTGTCAATCAAGAATATAGAGTTCTTGAAGGTGGACAGTATCTTTATAAAGACCAGGAGCCTAGCTCAGTGCCTTTCTTTCAGACAGTAGACTGAAAGGAAAACAAGCTGTATTGCATAATTTAGTAGTTACTCTTGGCTTTATGGTGATCCAGGCATATTCTTCACAGAAAATATGAGAATGTGATGTGGTTGGTGCTCTCTGGAGTTGAATAGTGTAGTGTTGAAATCTAGTGGATGGGGAATGGCTGGTGAGACAGTAGTTAGGTGGAGAATGAAAGCCATGATATAACTTGCCCTATTTTTCTTCCCCTTTTATTGTCCTCCCTCTTTCTCTGTATATAATTCTTCAAGCTCCAGACACTCTGAAGTCTGGGGAAAGACCTTCAGAATTGGTAAAGGAACACAAATGTTATCCTGGTCTGTTTTACCCAGGAAAAAAAATTTTAAGGTCCTGAGTTTATCTAGTTTAGACAATAGATGCTTTTGCAAGTGTCTCATGGACATTTGAAAAGATGTAGGGTAGATGTTTGTGAATTTAATCGATTTTTGTGATTATAAGAGCAATGGATATTACTGTAGAAAATTTGGAAATTGTGAAGATGAAAGCTAAAATCATCAGTAATCTCAACACACATTTCAGTCTCTTTCCTGTATATGAGAGGGAAAAAGGAATGTGTTTGAGTACTATTGAATCTTCTGTCTTAACAATTTGGAAAATACTTTTTCTAAACATATTTTTATTGACTGCAAATATTCCATAATATAACCATTCAGTAATTTGTTAATTACAACTATAATTACAATTATCATTGATCCTGGTGCTTACAATTTCACTCATTATGCTTTCCAGAACATAACTTAGAAATACGCTTGGGGGATGTAAAACTCTCTTCTTAACCATCTGTTTCTGTTTCTTGCAGAGATCTAAGGAAGTTGTAAACACTGAGGCTATTCCTAATACCAAGATAAAAGCCATCAACCGGGGACTTAAAAGGAAAACAAAGCTAGGTAAGCTCTTTCTTCATATGAGCTTAACATTCTTTATTCATGGTTTTCACCTTCATGATGTGGGGACGTGGAATGTAATTTTAATTAGATTCTGGAGAAAAATGCCAGATTTTACACATAAAGCAAATAATCCAAAATAAACTTAATTATTGATGATAAAGTCGGATGCAGATTTCTTGAAGCATATTCTTTGACTGTCCATAAGTTGCTTTTCCAGTGGAACAACTATTATACAAAAATAAGAATAGCAAAGGGAGCGTGTGTTCTTTTTATCTACTGGCATGTGTTCTGTATCTGTTATCCATTATGAATATAATTTTCTGTGCTTTAAAGGAAAAAATGATTATTTTTTAAAATAATTCAACTGTGGAATTGTCAGGTTGGGTGAGTTATGATATTACATTTTCATAAATCCATTTCTCACATTGAATTTTTAACATATCCTTTTAAAATAGGGAAAATTGGCCGGGCTCAGTGCCTCAGCCTGTAATCCCAGTGCTTTAGGAGGCTGAGGCGAGTGGATTGCCTGAGCCCGTGGGTTCGAGACCCGCCTGGGCAACTTGGTGAGACCTCATCTCTACAATAAATAAACAATTAGCCGGGCGTGGTAGCTCACACCTATAGTTCTGGCTACTTGGTAGGCTGAGGTGGAAGGATCACTGGAGCCCAGCAGGGCGAGGCTGTGGTGGCTGGGAATGTACCACTGCACTCTAGTCTGGGTGACAGAGTGAGATTCCAACTCAAAAAAAAAAAAAAATAGGGAAAATTATTTTCCCTTAAAATAACCTCAGCATGAATGTGCTTTGAAAGGTAAAGTATTTCATTAATCCATTGAGTATATACAATTAACCATTATTGAGAAAAATCTGAGGTGAACTCTTGACTTATGCTTTTTATTTTTGGACCAGATTCTCAAGTTGAAACCAGGCTAATGATAATGGTAGGCTCTTTTACATGAGGTGAATTTAAGGATGCACACACATGAAATACATATGTATATATGTATGTTAATAAAGTATTCATATGAAATACATTGACATTCTTAAATATATAACAGAATACATTCATACTAACTCGTGTTTCCGTTAAACTTTAATAATGACTATTTTTATTGGGCTGAAACCTAATTAATTTTCCTTAAATTTTATCAGAGTAAAACCTGACTAATTTAGACTTGACTAGTTAAAATGTGTAGTTTAAACTTAAATTGCTTAAGGAACTTCAAGTACTTTATATTAGATGTTGTGTTTATAGTCAACCTCAGCATCCTTAGTTTCTTCATCTGTAAATGAAAATAGTAATATTATCTGTTATGTAAAATAGGAGCACAGACTTCAGAATTTAAAACACAACTTTATCAGTTTCTAAGAACAGTGTGCAGGAAGAAGAGTAAGCTCACATATGCAACTTGAAGACTTTAAACTTCTAGAACTTCTGAATGCATCAAAATTACAGGCTTTCTGTTTTACTCTTACAACCTGAGATATTTCCCAGGAGGGAACTGGGTTAGTTAGCAAGAATGGGGAGACCTTATGACATTCAGGTAAGGGAGAGAAGTTGAAGTCCTCTGATATTCCGCGGAACAGGAGGGATCTTGTCAGTAAGACTTCAAAAGCTACATGCAAAAAGTGCTGATAACATAGTTTTCAGGGAGTTATAGTATTTGTTCAGCAGTGAGTGGTAAACTATAAGGAGCTTCACAGACTTTATTGTTTCCTTCAGTTGATAGTTGTAGTTAAACACGTAGCTCTGTCTGTTGAGGTGGCAGATTTCTTCACAGTTTATTAGGGTTGTTTTGAAGATTCAAGAAAATAGCCGACTTAAAACACCTAGCACATACTTGGTATCTAGGCTGAGATTAGTCAGCATTAGTTATCTAGATTTCAGTTTCTCCATATAACCTGAAACCATGTCCAGAAAAGCAGAATATTTTATGTTCTTTGAACATTCTTATTGCTCTTTTTTCTACTCCTGGGTCGTCAGATCTTGATATTTATTCATTCATTCACCAGATATTCATTGTTCCTTTGTAAGCTAGAATGGAAAAGTTGTGGAAGCAATTACTGAGTACTTTCATTTAGGATTCTGGTGGGCATTGGTCTGGAAAATATACATTTTTATTTTTAGATTTTTGAGTTGGAGTCTTACTCTGTCGCCCAGACTGGAGTGCAGTGGCCGCTCCTGGCCACCACAGCCTCGACCTGCTGGGCTCCAGCGATCCTTCCGCCTCAGCCTTCCAAGTAGCTGAAATTACAGGCATGCGCTACCACGCCTAGCTGATTTTTTTTTATTTATTGTAGAGATGGGGTCTCGCTGTTCAGGCGGGTCTCGAACCTGTGGGCTCAGGCAATTCACTCACCTCAGCCTCCCAAAGGCATGGGATTACAGGCTGAGCCACCGAGCCCGGCAAAACATACATTTTTAAAACTTAACATGGTGACTATTCATTTTCTCCCTTATAGGTTAATATTTTAGAAAAATTATAGATAATTGGAAACATTTGAAATCTGATAAATTATACAAAATGTTTAATTTTAGTACTTGTGTTCAAATTTGCTAGATTGGAAACAAGAGAATGTAAGAATGAAAGCCCTATTCAGGGGTACAAAAAAATTGAAGTTGCAGTATGTAAAACACAAATTGTAATTATGTAGGAGTATCACAGTAAATCAGGAATGCAAATGTCTAAAGCATGTTATTTGTCATTTAGAAAAAGGCTGGGATTGGTATGTTTGTGAAGGTTTTCAGTACATACTTTATCAGCAAGCAGAAGCCTTAAAGAGTCTTGGAATAGGCCCAGAGTTAAAGGTAAGTCCATTTGTGACCACCTATTTGCTTTACACTTTGTTGTTTTAAGAACAGTAAGATTTAGAGTACAACTAAGGAAAAATCAGTAGTAACACTAGGGCTACCAGAAGAATAATTTTTCTGATTTTTTTTCTTTAATCCTCTTACTAGACAGCAATTCTTGAAGTGCATTTTACAGGACATAAGTAAGTAATACATCCAAAAGAAAATTTAGGCCAGGTGTGATGACTCATGCCTGTAATCCCAGCCCTTTGGGAGGCCAAGGCGGGAGGATTGCTTGAGCCTAGAAGATCGAGACCAATGTAGACAACATAGTGAGACCCGATTTCTACAAAAAATAAAAAAATTAGTGGGGCATGGTAACATGAACCTTAGTCCCAGCTACTCAGAAGACTGAGATGGAAGGATCTCCTGAATTAAGGATGCTGAGGCTGTGGTGAATCATGATCGTGCCATTGCTCTCCAGCCTGAACAACAGAGTGAGACCCCAACTCAAAAAAAAAAAAAATTTAGAAGATTTTACTCTCCAGGTACTTAGGAAACAGCAGGTTAAACAAAGTAAAAAATAAAACTTTGGGGGCTTATTAGTATCTTTTGTATGTTAATGTGCTTGTTTAATTTCCAGGGAGTGTCCTGTGCAATATTCACAATTTGGGAAAAAAAATCCTTTGGTGTGTATATGTAGTGCCTATTGGGATTTAAGCTCCACAGAATACACTTCGGGCACTGATATTTTAAATCAGTGGTTCACTTGAGTGTGCATCAGAATCACCTGGAGTACTTATTAAAACGCTGATGTGGCTGGGCTTGGTGACTCAACCTGTAATCCCAGCACTTTGGGAGGCCTTGGCCAGTGGATTGCTTGAGCCCGTGGGTTCGAGACCAGCTGGGGCAACTTGGTGAGACCTTGTCTCTACAATAAATAAAAAATTAGCCCAGTGTGGTAGCACACGCTTGTCGTTTCGGCTTCTTGGAAGGCTGAGGTGGAAGGATCACCGGAGCCCAGCAGGTTGATGTTGGGGTGGTGGTGAGTGTGCCACTGCACTCCAACTTGAGTGATGGAGTGGGACTCCAACTCAAAAACAAAAAACACCAATGTGTCACTGATGGTTCTGGTCCAGGGACTGCACTTTGGCTTTCCTACCTTCCTGGAATAACGTAGTGCTTCTACAATTATTTGAATTTCATATTCCCTCATCTAGTTAAAGCCATTTAAGGAATTCTTTAAAAAACCAGTTATTTAGCAACAAGTTGGTTTGTACATTTGCTTCATGCTCTTTGTTGGAAGCCAAGTACCAAGAGATCCAGCCAGGTTGAGGAGAGGGATTTATGCGTACATGAAATTATATGGTGGTATATTAGTAAGTGATACTAAAGGCAAAAGGGGAAGATAGAAAGATCAATGTGGGCTGAAATCACCAAGGAAAGATTTGTAGAGGAGTCTTTGTTCTTCAAACTGGTAGTTGGAACAAGCCAAAACAGAATAACCTCTAGACCAGTGCATGGCCAAATGGATTCTAGGCCTATCCTGAAAAACATTACAGGAATTAAAAATTGAGAAACATGGAAACACCAGAGACTAACCCATGACAATAATTGTGTTAGGTAAGATTGCTGACAGTGGGGGCTTGTGACCTGATTTCTCCCTATGTGTAAATGTTTATAAATAGTTGTATATAGTTACCTGTATAGCTACAGTAGAGTTTCATCCTGCATAGCTTTCTACCCACTTCATTAGGGATTAATTCTGAAAACAGTTTTTCCAAAATTAGCTGATGAGCACAACTGTTTAGACTTGATTAGTTGAATGGTATTATGCTAAGAACATCGGCTCCCAAATCAGAACTCACTCCAAATCCTGTTCGTGGCTTTTCTACTTATTGGCTGGGTAATCTTGGCTAAGTTACTCAGTTTCTTCAGTGGTAAAATGAAGATAATGGCTATATTACAATATTATATTAGAGCTAAGAGATGCTTGGTACCTAGTAGGTAATTGGAAAAGGTTTTCATTTAGTTTTATTTTCACATGGGACTGGTTGAAGGACCTGGTAACAGCTTTGCCCCTAACTAGAAGTGCAGTCATAAATAAATTGCTTTCTTTCTCTGATCCTTAACATAACAAGATATGAGAGGGACCCCAAAAAACCCAGAATTATATCATTTAGAGGGCAGGCCCCTTGTAGTATA